CATATCATTGTGGGAAAATTCTACTACCAGTCTTTCATCACCTTACACGAAATAGGGTGAATACATCTCAATAAGTTATCACCCAAAAGTAACTGATGCCTCCGAAGAATGCTTGTATAAAAACTACATTTTTTAAAACCGATTCGTCTGTACCATGAGGTATCTGCAATCTTCGTGTGGCGTAGAAGCAAAAAGCAAGAAGACAAGCTTCTGTATAACTTTTATGCTCCTGCAGTGTTCACATTAATGACTGCCTCAACTACTTCCCTCCCCTCCCCTGTCCAACCTAACACACTCTAGCTACGTCTCTTGCTCAAACGGTGTCCAGTCGCTCTCGGATCAGAGGCCTCCGACTCACGAGTCCCTCGAACGGGCCAGCTTGGGTCATATGAATACCGGCCCTCGCGACAAGCCAATGCCGTCCATGACGTACGTCCCCATCGCCATATCCCATCCATCCTACGAGTGCCCGCCGAGCCCACAGCCCCTGCCTGCGCCAGCAGCAACAGCATCAACAGCATCAACATCGACGAACGACTTCCCAACGGCCCGCTCCAGAGGCTCGTTATCCCCTTCCGAAGTGGCCGCCACCGTCGCCAGCATCTCCTCTGGCTCGACGAGTGCGCTGCCTGCGACGCAGACTTTTGTCAAAATGGCTCCGGCCAACTTCGCGTTGAGTCCCTTTCACGCCTACTCAACAGCTCTTCCCTGCCATTCGCCCATGTCACATTTCAGACTCAGCCTCGCCAACGGAGACGACAGCGTCCCATCCTACCAATACATGGCCGGCTCGGAGTCGAGAGGACCGTCTCAGCCGCCCACTCCGTTGCTTCCCTTTTGGCTGGCTCAGCACCAGCAGCACAAGCAACCACGTCCACAACAACCGCAACAACTACAACAACAATTGGTCTCGTTCCAACCGCCCTGGTCTAGCCCAACGTCAGAGCGGTCCGACTTTCTTCGTGTGGGTGAAGATGCCTCGCATGTTTCATTCTCAATATGCATTCATTTCGCCGGAGCATGTCAGCCACAGAGTGTCGTATTAATGATGTCCCAAGCAGAGGACATGTTAGCGAATTTTTCGTTTATGAATAGGTTTTCGAGACTACCAGTTAATAAGATAGTTGAGTTGTATTCATCCTATTCCGTTTAAGGTGATGAAGTACTGGTAGTCGACTTCTCCCACAATGATATGAGTATGACTGACGTTTCCATAGAATTTTACATATCCTTGCTTTCGCAAAAGATGTTATCATCCAGAGTAGACTAGAATTTCGACCTCGCATAGGTCTTATCAACACCCCGAGCGGGAGTCGAACCATGACAGTGTAGCGTGTAATCTCGACACGTTAACTACTACGCCACTTTTGGGGAAGTAAAATAGCGAGAAATATCAGCTCTACTCATATCATTGTGGGGAAAATTAACTACCAATCATTCATGATCGTAAACGAAATAGGGTGAATACAACTCATATATCTGATTTACTGGTAGTCTCGACAACCGACTCATGTCGTCGATTGCTATAGCAAATAAAGTTTACTTAATCAACAATCCCAACACAGAATGTGATATGGAAAATGCCTGAAATTTCTTGAAATTCACTTCTTCCCTGTGACCCAAGGGCACTCGTGGCAATGTGGCGTAGTGGTTAACGTGTGGAGCTTGCACGCTGCATTGTCACAGTTCGACTCCCGCTAGGGGTGCTGATAAGATTTATGTGCGGTCTAAACTGCTGTCAACACTGGATGAGAACATCTTTTGGAAACGTCAGCTCTACTCATATCATTGTGGGAAAAATCAACTACCAGTCCTTCATCATCTTAAACGAAATATAGTGAATACAACACACCAAATTTCGCTAAAGATGATAACGGGACTGGTATTTGGATTGATATGAGTAGACATTATGCTTCCGTTGAATTTCACATATCCCTGCTTTCCCGAAAGGAATTCTCGTCCAGGCAGAGATTGACTCAAGTTTCGGCCCCGCTAATGTCTCATCAGCATCCCCAGCGGTGCAGATGTGAATCTCAAGTGAGACCAGGCGTTTTCTCATTCTACATTCTGTAGTGGGATTGTAGAGGAAGCTAACTTATATTTGCCAGAGCAATCGAAAGCATTGCTTTTTTTCGAAGTGGGTTGACCTCGTTGTCACAACTTGGTCTTGTTGTCAAGGCGACTTAGTAGAACGCAGCTAGTCCGAAGTCGTCTGCCATAGTAGTTG